GAGTCAGCATCTGGTCTGGGTCCATAATCCCTGTGACCACCAACATTTTTGAAGCTACCATGGTCACCACCACTTGATCCTGTCATAAGACCTCTTCCATCCTTGTCACATCCCCCACACCCTCTACTTCTTCCCTGTGACCCGTCATATCCTCTGTTATCTTCTCCATACCTATTCATATCACGACGGTCATCTTGTCTGTGGTGGCTGTAATTTTCCCTTTGAGGATGACAGGACTGCTGGTTTTGTTTCTATGAATCATGCTGCTGATCATAATTTGACTACTTGTCATATGAGCCTTGATGTTGATCATAGCCTGACTGCTGGTCATATGAATCTTGTTGACGATAGTCTAATTGGTCATATGAAGGCACTCTTCCACCTTGGCCTCCTGATGATTCCGTGTTTTGCTGTCCCTTGTTATTATAAGATTGCTGGCCATAAGAGCTCTACTTTTGATTCTTATAACCACGGTAGGACTGTGAATAACCTGACTGGCTTCGTCCATAACTGGAGTAGATGCCATAGCTCTGTCCATATGAGCAATCAGTCATTTGCCCACAGCCGGAATAGCTTTGTGGTGCTTGTCCATAGCCTTGGTTGCCTTGATTTCCATAGGAAGAATAACTTTGCTTCTCACCCCCAGACTGACCGTTACTTCCAGAATCCAACCTGACTAATGGCCACGGCGAGAAGCCCTGAAAGCCCGCCGAGAACAGGGAATACGAGAGTCAGGTGGCATGTCTTTGACTTTTTATCCTCCTGTTTTTGCTACAAAGTCCCTGGGTGGTGCAAGCAATTTGCGCTCAGCTGCTAACCTAAAGATTGGTGCTTTGAACTTACCCAGTGGGTCCTTGGGAGAAAGGCCTGGTGATCTGCTTCCATAAATATTGCAGCCAAAAAAAAAAAACACCCTATGGAGCAGTTCTACTTTGTAACACATGGGGTCGCCATGAGTCGGAACTGACTTGATGGTAACAGGTTTGGTTTGGGCTTGGTTTCTGTTACCACTCTCCTAAGTATCTCTCACATCCATTCATATGCCTCTGCCCCTTGCCCCCACCTACACTTGGATCTGTACAGTAATCTGTTTACCAATCTATACATATTTGTTCTGACTGCCTTCCAATCTGTTCCCTCCACCCTAGTTTTAGTGATGGTTTCAGAATGCAAATCTGATCATGTCACCCCTGCTAAAATACCTTTGGGTTTAGTGTGGGTTTCCCTTCAAATTAAGACAAAGTTCCTTCCTTACTATGATCCACAACTCTGAGTGAACTAGCCCTTTCCTGCCTCTCCAATTTTATCCCTCACCATGCTCCACATCCCCCCCAGCTTCACCCACACGCGTCCTTGCTCCTTCAGCTGTTTTCACACTAGTTGTTTTTGTTTTTGTTTTTGTTTTTATCCTTAGACTCCCTACCCTCTTGTCTGGCACAAGGCTTTGAACATGCTGTTCCCTCTGATCTTTCTTCCCCTCTTGGCCTGCTAGAACTCCAACTCACTCTTCAGATTTCAGCCGAAGTGTTTTCCTCCAGGAAGCCTTCCCTGATTCCCTACCTCATAGGAATAATGGCACAGGGTACCTTTCCTTTATAATTTACCATCTCTTTGTGTGGTAAGGACCCCTTTTACCAGTCCGAAAGTTGCGTGAAGGCAGGAGAAGGCTGTTTTGCTCACTGTTACATCCTCAGCACTTAGAATAGTACATGGCACCTAGTAAATGTTAAGTAAATATTTTTGAAGTGAGTGAACAAATGAATTCTCTCAACTGCTGAGATTCAAAAATTTGAAGTAATCATACTGTGGGACCTCTACCTCAAACAGGGGACGGTGGTGGTTCAGTGGTAGAATTCCTGCCTTCCATGTGAAAGACCTGGGTTCGATTCCTGGCCAATGTACCTCATGCACAGCCAACCCCCATCTGTCAGTGGAGCCTTGCATGTTGCTATGATGCTGAACAGATTTTGGCAGAGCTTCCAGACCAAGACAGACTGGGAAGAAAGGCCTCCAAGAAAATCAGCCAATGAAAGACCTAAGAATCACAATGGTCTAATCTCATTGTGGATGGTGTTGCCAGTCAGGGGCTGACTCGACAGCAGCTAACCACAACTACCTCAAAGTCAAGTGGGAATCTCACACTGACTGGGTTCATTTATTTGTGTGGTTCAGTAGCGATGAACCCTGGTTCTGTATTGGGGAATTTTAAAAAACAGAAATGCTCAGGCCTTGCCCCTAGAAGCTCTGGTCTAATGAATATGAAGTCTGCCTCAGCCGACGCACAGCTAAGGCTGAGAACCATTGGTGTGAACAGCAAAACTAGTGTCTAAAACTTAAAAAAAAAATTAGTTCACACCCATATCTCTCCCCTCTCCCCTCCACCTGTGAAGATACTAAGCACTTCTGACCAAATTTTATCTTCTTACTGGAATCTCCCTGGCTTAGGCTCTCTAAGAAACTCCCATTAGGGTTGCAGCTAGCATCACTCATTAATCTAATGATTATGTGCTGTGTGTATGTGTGTGTGTGTGAACTAGGGTATAATTCTTCAAGGAGAGAAATAGTATCTTTATGTTTATCATGTATCATTCTAGCACAGTGCCCTGAACATAATAGGTTCTCAATAAAAAAGGATGCTTCAAAAGTAAAAAAAAAAAACTTGAAGTAATCAGTGATGCATTCTGCTATTTTATTCCCCATATTCAGGTCCCAAGTCATATTAATTTGTTCTCCAATCTTATTACACCTGTGTTTTCCTCTCCTTTCTGCTGTCCGCAACCCTTGCTAAATATACGTAGAACATTCACATATCCTTATTTTATTGTCTCTTTCACTATCTACAATTTATCTCATATGATATAGTATAATTTTCCTCAAAGCCCATGCTTATCATGTCATATCCCAACTCAAAAACCTTCAAAGGTTCCTTGTTTTCTTAATACTTTATCTTTTTTGCTTGGATTTAAAGACTTCCACAATCTGGCTCTAATCCAAATGCCCCGTTCTTGAACCATGCTGATATCCCAGAAAGATATCACCTGAATCCCAGCAACAAATCCCTTGGCCTGGGATAAGCCTCACACAGTCCCTTTCTTCTCCCTCTATCCACGCTTTGGGCCCCAGCTCAAAGTTTACCACATGCAGCCTTGCCTGACTTCTCCAGCTCTTCCAGCTCTCTCCCTTCTGCAGGTCTATAAGCCTACTCTTCCTTCTGTCTGCAACACTCTTCCTCTGGCTCTCTGCCTGGCTAGTTCCTTCTCCTCCTTTAGTTCTCAGCTCCTTGAGGTCTTATCCAATCATCCTTCTTATCTAAAGACCTACATATATATATACAGAGAGAGAGAGAGAGAGAGCAATTGCCATCCAGCCGACCTCACCTCATAGTGACCCTGACTCATGGCAACCACGTGTGTGTCAGAGTAGAACTGTGCTCCAAAGGTTTACAATGGCTGATTTTTTTGGAAGTAGATCATCAGGCCTTTCTTCCAAGGCTCCCCTGGGTGGACTCGAACCGCCAACCTTTCAGTTAACAGCTGAGCACATTAACCATTTGCACCATCCAGGGACTCATTCTCCCATTGTTTACTCTCAAACAGAGCACTCTGTTTCTTTCTTTCAGGACCTTTTACACAATTATAATAAATCTATTGTTTACTCTTTATTATTTCTCTCCTCAATTAGACACTTTAGACAAGAAACATTTCTGCCTTTCTGTTTGAAATATCCAGATTGCCAAGGACACCGTCTGGTCTATAACATTTATTTAACTTATATATCTGCTAGTATTATTTTATGAATAAATGCTTATTTATAAATACATGATTCACATTGCCCTTGAAGGGAACTTAACACTCTTAACACACAAGTCTGCACAGCCAGCACTTAACGCTTGCACTGTTTGCTCTTCGTTTTTCTTTATCAGTCTCATATCCCTGGTTAGAATAGATGAGATCGTAAGACTCTGGATGGCAATGACTACGTCATACTGCCGTGACCCCCACAATGTCTGGCAGGTTGCTTAAAGTAAATAAATAAATATTTAGATATCCGAACTGGACTACTGGACATGAAGGCTAAGAACCATAGTCTCAGGGGAAATCTAGGTCAATTGGCAAAACACAGTTCGTAAGATAACGTTCTACAATCTAGCCGGTGAGTAGCGTCTGGGGTCTTAAAAGTTTGCAAGCGGCCATCTAAGAAGCAACTATTGGTCTCTTCCCACCTGGAACAAAGGAGAACAAAGAAAACCCAAGACACAATGAAGTAATTAGTCCAAAGGACTAACGGTCCACATGAACCACAGCCTCCTCTAACCTGAGACCAGAAGCACAAGATGGTGCCCGGCTACCACTACTGAGTACTCTGACCAGGATCACAAGGGAATAGGTAAAAAATGTAGAACAATATCCAAATCAAATAAAGACAAAAAAAAAAAAAAGACCAAACTTAACTGGTCTGGAAGAGACTGGGGGAATCCCCGAGACTACTGCCCTAAGACAACCTTCTAACTTGAAACTATAAACACTCCCAGAAGCCACGTTTCAGCCAAATAATAGACGGGACTATAAAATAAACATCAACATCCATGAAGACTATACTCCTTAGAACAATCGACTGTATGAGACCAAAAGGGCAACATTTGCCCGAAACCAAAGATGAGGAGACAGGGTAGCCGTACTAACAGAAATGGGGAACCCAGGAAGGAAATGAGGAGAGTGCTGACACATTGCAGGGATTGCAACCAATGTCGTGAAATGATTTGTGTATGAATCATTGACTGGAAAATTAATTTACTATGTAAACTTTCACCTAAAGCGTAATAAAATGTTTAAAAAAAAAAGAAAAGAAAGAAAGAAATTTGGTTTCTCCCTTTATGTACCAGCAATCACGTGTCCAAAGATACAAACAAAAATCTGGTTATGAGATTTAAAAAAAAATTTTGTTGGCCTCCAAGAGGAACTTTACCCTTGAGCTTAGACAAGTCTTTGCAACACACAGCTGGATGGGGGCAGTGACAGTAATTTTTATTTGTCATTTCTGAAAAATAAAAGTAGTAACGGTGCAAGTGAAAAGTTCTGTCTTAGACAACTGCATCTTGTGACTGGACTTTTTCTTGAAAGGTAAATGTATTTACTATATGCTTTTAATCTGGATGAAATAGTCATTCCCCAAAACAAAATGCCATCCAATTTTTGGTGGTTTCATCTTTTTTTCTTTTTTTTTTTTTGGGGGGGGGTGGGTGAGGGTTGTATTTGAATGGCTGGATTTAGTTAGCAGATTTTATGGCACTCAGAAATTCTCCATTGCTGGACAGAGCATGAAAAAGTATATATAGCACTGTTTCTATTTTAATTTAGGCCTCTGTCAAATGTTTTGGATTGTTGTTTTCAAAAGGAAATGTGTTTTCTGCTTTTCTTGACCTGGTTTTGTAAGTACCTATTTCCCTGTGGCATTGTGGGATGGTTTTGTCATTCTGGGTGGGGTGGCCTAACTTATTTTAAAGTAAAATTTCTTTGGGATGGTGTAAATTCAGAGCCACTCATGTGAAGGCAGGATTCTACAGAAACCTATGGTCCTCCTCTCTCCCATCTTCCCAATTGTAGGGTCTAGGGTAAGTTAGTACTCAGTTAGTACAAACATATTTTGTCATTCAAAAGATGCTATATCAATACTTTATGGTGCCCTGAAAAGAGCACTTTTGACTTACAGATTAGAAAAGGAACAAAAAAAGTGTTGAAAAATCCCTAACACTTTTTGTTCTGTTGTGGTCTGCATGCTTCCTTTTCTCATAGATCGAACTACTCATGAAACTTCCCTATTGGCATCTTTCTTGTTCTCTTATATTCTGTGATCTAAAAATGTTTTGTCAAATGTAAGGTACTTGATAATGTTGCTGTTGCTGCTGCTATAATTAGTATGTGACAATGAGATGTCCTTGTCCCAACCCACTCCATGTCCATGGGCTTGGAAATTGATTGATTTTTGAGAGCCGAACAATTAAAACACATAAACAATCGATGACATCGGTTTTCTAAATAAATTACCTTAAAATGCAGCAGAAATTGCAGAACCTAAAATTTTTATTATGAGTTTACCTGAATACGAACTAAAATTGTGGCCTCTTAAGAAATAATCAGGGATACATACAAAATTTTACACAAAAATGTTCCCCTCACTAGGGGACAGTGAGTTGAAGATAATGGTGATGGAATAATTTGGAAAAGGATAGTGAAAATAGCAGCACAACTGGAAGAACATAATCAATGTCACTGAATTGTATATGTAGAAATTTTTGAAATGGTGTATCTTTGGCTATGTATATTTTCATCAAAAAAAATAAAAAAGTTCCTCCAAGGTTGAGAAGGGAGTGTGTTGACACGTCGTGGAGTTGTTAACCAATGTCATAAAACAGTATGTGTACTGACTGTTTAATGAGAAACTATTTGTTCTGTAAACCTTCATCTAAAGTACAATAAAAAAAAATTAAAACACAAAATAAATTTTAAATACTTCCCTTCATTTTTATTTATCTAAATTAAAATTGGGAACAATTTATATCAACAAGCAGGAAATTGGTAAAACAAGTTATCTAGATGTAACAAAAAGATCTATCACCATTAACAATGTTTATCAAAAGCTTTTAGTGGCATAGAAGAATGCTTATAACAAAAAGTTTACTTAAAAAAAAGGAGGATATAACCTCAAGTAGGTTAAAAAAAAAAAAGAATGAAAATACAACTAAAAGGAAATTTACCAAAATGTTAACAATGGATAGTGGGAGTTTGGATGATTATACTTATCTGCTTCTTTATACTTTTGGTACCAAGAAAAAATCAAAAGGAGAAATATAGAAGGCTTAGCAAAATCAATAAAACCATAGCCTGAACAAGGATATTGGCATACTTGAAAAGACAAAACATGAATAGAAAAGGGGCATCTGATGGAGCTTGGAGGAAGTTTGTCAAAGTATGCCCAGCACTGCCAGGGAAGAGGGAGGTGAGACACTCAATATTAAAACCATCCATTCAAAGTCCCTAGGTGGCAGTGGTGTCACTAGGGTTGGCGTCACTCAGTGCAGTAAGTCACGATGTCACCTCCATGCTAATTACCAAATATTACCAAATATTGTAGCTAAAACACCAGAAAATCTGACAAAATCAGTGACTATAAAAACATTAGCAGCAACAAAAGCAACAGTGCATGCTTGTAGCTTGTGCAGACGAAATCACGTGATTCAAAGCATCATTGTAATTGGGTGATAATGACACCTCTGACAAGAGTGAATTAAAAGATTCAAAAAGTAAATTAGCATAGAGTTTTAACCTTGTAGATATATTAATACATGTAAGCTGCGCTTACAAAAATTTTTTGTTGTTGTAAGTAACTACAAAGATATTTTTATAAAAAATAAAAAATTTCTGCTGAAACACTGCACCCTCTAGCAATGCCTCTGCTAGGTGGTGCAAATGGTCTGTGCTCGACTGCTAACCTAAATGTTGGAGGTTCAAACCCACCCAGGGTACCATGGAAGAAAAGGCCTGGAGTCCTGCTTCTATTAAGATTACAGGCAAGAAAACCCTACGGAACAGTTATAGTCTATAACATATGGTGTCCCAATGAGTTGGAATTAACTGGACAGCAACTAACAATAAAATCATCCATTTGTCTCTTCTTGTACGTACTTAATTCAATGCTTACCAAGCAAAATTATGGCTATTATTTGGCTTTCCTATAGGTGTTTTGATAGCTAGAATACACTGGTTATAATATGTTTCTTATGTCATTCCAGTTTATACACTAATCTCCCGTGAGTCTGGTTGGTGGGAATCAGTTCTAGACAGATCGATCCATTCGTGGTGCTGTACAAGTTCAAATTTTTGAAACTGCGAAGCTGACGACCATCTGCTAAGTGGCGGTAACAATGCCTGTAAAGTCTGTGACCGCTGGCCTCCTTAGAACACTAATTGTTACTCTTCTTATACTAATATCACAGTCTCAGATTTGGCCTTGCATGCCTCTCTTTTCCAAGTTTTCTTTTTCTCTCTTTTTTTTTTTTTTTTTACTGTTTGTGCTTTAAGTGAAAGTTTACAATTCAAGTTAGTCTCTCATACAAAAATTTATATATACATTGTTATGTGACCCTAGTTGCTATCCCTATACTGTGACCACACACTCCTCCTTTCCACCCTGGATTTCCCGTGTCCATTCAACCAGCTCCTGACCCTCTCTGCCTTCTCATCTAGCCTCTGGACAGAAGCTGCTCATTTCGTCTCATGTACTACTTGAGCTAAGAAGCACAGTCTTCACGAGTATCATTTTATGTCCCATAGGCCAGTCTAATCTTTGTCTGAAGAGTTGGCCTTGGAATGGTTTTAGTTTTGGGCTAACAGAGAGTCGGGGGGCCGTGTCTTCCGGGATCCCTCCAGTATCAATCAAACCGTTAAGTCTGGTCTTTTTACTAGAATTTTAGTTCTGCACCTCACTTTTCTCCTGCTCTGTCATGGACTCTCTGTTGTGTTCCCTGTCAGGGTGGTCATTGGTGGTAGCTGGGCACCATCTAGTTCTTCTGGTCTCAGGCTGATCAAGTCTCTGGTTTATGTGGCCCTTTCTGTCTCTTGGGCTAATACTTTCCTTGTGTCTTTGGTGTTCTTCATTCTCCTTTACTCCAGGTGGGTTGGGACCAATTGATGCATCTTAGATGGCCACTTGCTAGCTTTTAAGACCCCAGACGCCACTCACAAAAGTGGGATGCAGAACATTTTCTTAATAAACTTTGTTATACCGATTGACCTAGATGTCCCTTGAAACCATGGTCCCCAGACCGAGTTTTCTAAGAGATATCTTTTTTATTCTCAGGGGAAGACAGCATGGGACAAAGTTTCCCCAAATCTGAACCCAACCATGGTGAGTTCGTGAGAGGAACCACTACCTGCCTCACTGCTGACTTGAAATGAACTAGAATAACCAGAAATGATGTGAAAGGGCTGTAATGGGGCAACACTAGCTAGTGCATTTCTGAAGTTGGAGAATTAGATTTTACTATGATGTAGAATCTAATGCGAGGAGGAGTGAAAAGAGGAGCCAAAGAGAAACACTTGGACCTCCAAGCTTGAGTAAAGGACTCCTTCAGTGCTTGATAGTATGCCAGATGAACAGGTTAGGAGAATCAAATTCATTCCCCTTGCTGCCGCCCTGGTTGTGGTGTAGGCATTTGGAAAACTCACCATGGCTGCCTTTGGCCAGGCAATTTAATAGCTGCCCTGCCAACAAGCAAGCAAACAGCAAAAAGGCAGCAATTTCTATGGTCAAATTGACTTTGGGAACCACTAGTTCTAGATTTGACATTTGGTTCTCTACACCCAAGCTTGTGATTCTCTGCTTAGGTCAGAGTGGGCATATCTCTTGAGGGTTCCCATAAAAATCTTTGAGGAGGGAGAGACATGAAGTGTTTATGTTTATCAAAAGGACATATGGCTACCAAACACTAGGCTCTTACTGTTTTCATTTGTGTAGCTGATTTCTTTTTTTAAGTCCCAGTGCAAATTTTTATTTTAAAGGATCCAGGAGCTAAGAAATAGTATTCTCCCTTATTTAGAGTGGCAGCCCCATCCTTAATCGTCACTGTTTGCTTGGGTAGGATGAGGCATCTGGGGGCAGTTAGACTGGAAGTATTCCATGAGAAGTGGCAGACACACTGATGCCTTTCATGTTCTCTTGCAGGCCACCAAGACACCCCCTCCACCACAGCCCCAGTGACTAGCTCTCCACCTTTCCCTGATGCCAGCCCCAAGTAAATGAGCACTCTCCCATCCATTTCATCTTGTACCACATGGCATTTGATTTTGTGTTGAGAACTTTCGCTTGGGAACTTGGGGTGGGAGGTATATGGAGAATAGACTAGAAATAGTAAAAGAACTAAATTAGGTTTTTGACCTTAGGGTTGTGGTTCTTAACTTGCGGTTCCCTGAGCTTTAGGAAGTGCCTGGGTTACACAAGTGGTTTGCACTCAACCACAAACCTAAAAGTTAGCAGTTCGTACCCACCCAGAGGCTCCATGGAAGAAAGGCCTGGTGATCTGCTTCAGTAAAGATTACAGCCAAGAAAACCCTGTGGAGCAGTTCTACTCTGTAACACACAGGGTTGCAATGAGTTGAAACTGACTCAATAGCAATAGGTTTGGTTAGAGCTTTAGGAGATCCATGATTCCCCTAAATGTGCTATGTGTGTGTAACTATGAATATTTTGGGGGAGAAGAGAGTCCACAGCTTTCACTGAATTCTCAAATGGATCCAGAACTCGAAAACAAAATGTTGAAAACCGTGAGTGGGCGTGAAAGTCAACTAGTCAGAGTAAAAGCCATTTCAGGGGTTTACCCACAGGTGGGAGAAGTTCCACTCTGGCCTTTAGGAAAGGCCTTCAAAAAGCTCAGCAGTTCATCTGCTCCCTTTCTTTCCCAAAACAGCAAAGAGCTTCTTCATTTGATTTTGGCCTTTTTTGCTGGGGTTCTACTGACACTGCTGCTAATGGCCTTTGTCTTCCTCATCATAAAGAGCTACAAAAAGTGTAAGTGGTCTCCAAGAGATGGGACAGACTTTCTTTCTCTGCCGTTAAAAGCAGTTAACTATGAGTGAATAGGAGTCCCTGGGTGGTGCAAATAGTTAACATACTTGGCTGCTAACCAAAAGGTTGGAAGTTCAAGTCCACCCAGAGGGTGCCTCAGAAGAAAGGCCTGGTGATTTACTTATGAAAAATCAGCCATTGAAAACCCTATGGAGCACAGTTCTACTCTGACACACTTGGGGTCACCATGAGTTGGAACTGAGTTAATGCAATGGCAACTGGTTTTGGCTATGCATGAATAAGAGGCAGGGATGGGGAGTGGGCACTATAAAACCTGCTTAGCCCACCTTCTCTTCAGACCGAGACCTCGAATCCCTTCACCTCACCCTCTACCTTTCCCACCTCAAACACCTCCTCCCTGCCCCACCCCTTGCACCCAAGATTGAGGGGACAGGCTTCTGATCCCTCCAGACCCCACTGATAAGACTCTTCTTCCTGGCCCTGTGGCAGGTCACTCCAGTCCCCAGGCCCTGGATCCTCACTCAGATTCTCCAGCTAAGGTAAGGTGACCACGCTGTTTCCAGGATACTGGAGGCCTGCTGCCATTGGAATTTCCCTCTGTGCTTCAAATTATTGATTACGGTAGTGGCATTGCTTTCTGGACCCTGGGCAAGTGACTCTTTGGGTTTCCTCTGACCCTCTAGACCAGAGCTTTCCAAATCTCAGGTTGCTTCTAAAGTGGATCTCAAGACCTTGCTCCAAACTCAACTCACTCATTCCTCCCTTTTCTTCCTATGCAGCTATTGGACATCCCAGGAGAGTCACTTACCCATGCCAGCATGACTTTCAAAACCTCAGAAGCAAAGAGCAATCACTTGACTGAAAACCACTCTGCAGACTCGGACCCCATTGTCTATGCTCAAATTAAAGTGACAAACTAGCCCTGCCTTTCCAGTGAGGCAGGCATCCAGTTCCTCTCATCTCAGTGCCATCTCTGTATGTTGCTTTCCCTTATTAAAAATTTTAGACCACAACCTGAGTGGAACTGCAGTCATGGTTGTCTGGGTATGATCTGGTGGTATTACATTCAGCAATTTGGAAGACCAGTGGTCAATGTTTTTCCAGGCCGGAGAAAAGATTACTGGCCCTCCCACTTGGACCTACAGCCTGTTGAACACTTGAGGGCCAAGACTGCCTCCCTTGTATCCTTCCAGGTGTGTGGTACAGAGCTCAGTGCACAGAGTATTCACTCGAGTTACTGATCTACTTTGAGGAGCCAGCCAAGCGAGCCGTCTATCAAGGATCTCAAATAACGAGTTCAAGGATCTCACCAAACCTTCTGCAATGTTGGCTCCTTCTTCTTCATTTGTCTGTCTTCTCCAGAAATCATAAAAGACTATCATAATAGACAGGTGATGGTGCCCTAGAACAAGCTCAGGATCGATTAGGGTACAGGTTTCAAACTCGGCCACTAACTGGCTGCATTAATTTGGGCAAGTTTGTTAAACTTTATAAGCCTCATTACCTTCACCTTGAAAACAGAGCTAATAACACTTTTATCTTAAAGTTAGTGTGAGGCTTAAATGAGACACTGTATGCATAAGCACTCTATACATCCCAGAGTTCTATATAAATATGAGGTTCCTATTCCCGGGGTGGTATGAATGGTTAACGTGCTTGGCTGCTAACCAAAAGGTTGGAGGGTTGAGTTCACCCGCAGGTGCCTCAGAGAAAAAGACTGGCTATCTAGTTCCAAAAAAATCAGCCACTGAAGCCCTATGGAGTACAGTTCTACTCTTTGAGGTATGTAATCCTAATGACACACAGGGGTCAGCCGTGAGTCAGTGCTGACTCAACAGCAACTGGTTGGTATTGCATAAAGCACTGTTCAAATGTACATTTCCACCTCCTTGCTACAGCATAAGAGATACGCATAACAACATTATGTGGGAACTAAGATTAATTTAAATGTTAATCCCAAAAAATCCCCATAGACAATCCCAATAAGATTATTTTTAACTAGATAAACTTAGTCTGAAGTTGTTATGTAAACAATAAACGAGAAAGAAAATCCAGGCAAATTCTTAAAAAAAAAAAAGAAATCATATGGGACAGCTAGCCCTGACAGCTAACTAAAAGTACTGTTTTATTGGGTATGACTAATTAAAACTATATAGTAATAGTACATGAATAAATACATCAATGGAATAGAATTTTTAAAAAATAGACCAAAATGCATAAGGAAATTTAGAGTATGTTGAAGATGGCATATCACATCATTTGGGGGGAAATGGTTTATTCAATAAATGATATTGTGAAAAACAGGTAGCCAGGTAGATAAAAATAAAATAAAATCCCTATATATTACTTTTTATATCAAAGTAAAAAACAAACAAGTACTTTTGTAAAAATGGGAGAATTTAAAAAATAATCTCAGAGTGGATCAGGCCTTTGAATGTATGACACAAAGCCCAGACTCCAGAAAAGATTAACTTGACTTATAAAATACCATTTAAAAAATCAAAAGACAAATTATAAGCTTCGAAAACGTTTGCAAAACATCTCATGGAAAAAGGGCTAACTCTCTTAATATATAAAGAGCCCCCATAAATCAATAGGAAAAAAAAATCAACTGCCAGTAGGAAAAAAGGACAAATTATAAAGTCGAGCAATTAATAGAAAAGGAAATACAAATGGCTCTTAAACATATGAAAAACTCAAAAAAAACCATTGCCATCAAGTCGATTTCAACTCATAGCAACCCTACAGCACAGAGTAGAACTGCCTCATAGGATTTCCAAGGAATGGCTGGTGGATTTGAACTGCCAGCCTTTTGGTTAGCAGTCAAACGCTTAACCACTGTGCCACCAGGGCTCCAAACATATAAAAAGATACCCAAAATCACTTCTAATAAGAGAAATACCAATTCGAACCACAATTAGATAATATTTTTTCATCAATATCAATAAGATTAGCAAAGTTCAAAACATTTGCCAACATACTATGTGGGCCAGATTGTGGGGAGCCAAGACACACATACACTTCTGGTGAGAGAGTAAGCTGATACAACTACCGTGGAAAGCAATTTGGCAATCACTAACAACATTTTAAAGTCTATTTCTAAGAATTTATCCTACTTAAGATGTGGAAAATCAACTGTAATTTTAATTCCAGCATGAATCAAACTGGCTAGCACTTACTGCAGCTTATTATAATCTAGGCATTATTCTAAGTGCTTGGTACATATTGCTGCATTAAATCCCCACAGAACACTATGAGGTTACAATTATTATTATTTGCGTTTTATAGACATGGAAATGGAGGCACAAACAGGTTCAGTAACTTGCCCAAATTTGCACTGCTCAAACTCAGGTAGGCTGGCTCCAGAGTTTGCACTTATCCATTAGGCTCTACTCTCTGCAACAGTGAAAGACTGAAAAAACCCTCAACACTCATGAGAGGGCACTGGTGAACAGAGTACAATGCAGTTGTTAGAAAGAATGAGGCAGCTCTCTCTGTTCTAATAAGGAAAGATCTCCAAGGTATACTGTTGAATGAGAAGTGCAAGTGCAAGCTGATGAACAGAGTTTTGAATTTGCTTCAATCACGTAGAGTATATATCCACACACTTCTGTATATTTATTATCTCTCTGGAAGAAAATACGAGCAAGCTGGTCATAGTGCTTGCCCCGGGGAGAAGAACTTGGTAACTGAGGGACAGGGATGGGAAGGAGGCATGCTCTTCCTTAAAAACCCTTTTGATATCTTTTGAAGTTGTTCATTTACCACGGTGAGGCTCTTCAAGGGGGCTCCTCTTCCCCATCTGACTTCTGAATCAACGGAGAAACAAGACAAAGGGCTCAGCAGGTAGAGACCAAAATATCATCTTTATTACTAATGTAGTCGACACTGGAGAATATGGTGTATAGTGTAGCTGCAGAGAAGTGGGCTTCAGAATATTGAACTCCACAATTGACAGAGTCGGACCAGGGAAAGCCCCAGCACCACCCACATCCAATTCAGTAGCTCAGCCTGCACCCAGGAGTTGCGGAAAAGATCATACGCTCTTTGAAAACTGCTCACACCCAATCAAGAAAAAAAGGAAGAGGAAGTGGCAGAGTATGCATGTCCAGTTCCTCCTCCCAGACCCACATAGCTGACAGATAACTCCACCTCCCATGGGGAGCCATTGAGGAGAGCAATCCTAATGGAGCTCCGACCACAAGGAATGAAGTGGGAGGGAAGCAGGCTCCACAAATCTCCTTTAAAAATACATTAAATAATAATTTACAAAATTAATACAAGGAAACTGAAGTTCAAGGAGATGAGATAACTTACCCAATGTCACTCAGCTAGCAAGTGGCAGAACTGAAACTTAAATCGAGTCCTCTGACTTCAAATTCCTTGCATCTTGGTGCCACACCACAATGCCACATAGCACTAACTGAGGTTTATTATAACCTAGGTGCTTTTCTAAGTGCTTGGCATGTATTACTGCAGTAAATCCTCACAAAACACTATGAGTTACAATTATTATTATTCTTATTTTATAGATAAGTAGCAATAAGTAGGAGCCCTGGTGGCACGGTGGTTAAGCCCTTGGCTGCTAACTGAGAGGTCTGTGGTTCAAACCCACCAGCTGCTCCACAGAAGAAAGATGTGGCTATCTGCTTCCATAAAGATTACAGCCTTGGAAACCCTATGGGGCAGTTTTACTCTGTCCTTTAGGGTCGCTATGAGTCGGAATTGACTCAACGGCATACAACAAGTAGTGGCAGTGAGACCAGGAAGGTAAAGTCAGGTGACATGATCAAAAGAGATTGGTCATTCTGGAGAGAGAGCAGCTGCTCCTGGCTGTTAGCTTTTGAGGGAGAAGACTGTGGACTCAGGGTTTGATAAAGCAGTAGGACTTCTGCGGGCATGAAAGGGTCTAAGAGAAACGACTGCTTAGAGAAATGGTCTGTCCTATAGAGCAGCCAGCCCTACGGGGGCAGCAGAGACCAAGGCATGGTCTTCTCCCATTAGCTAACTATAGGAAGCACACAGGGAGGTCTTCCCAGGTTCCCAGCCTCTGGCCTGACTTCAAACAATTCTGCCAGCCCTGAACCTAGAAGCTACATCGGCTTTCCAGTTCAGAGCCAGTGCCTTATAAACATAGCTGCAAGAGCAAGATTAAGCACTGTCCTACGGTAATCCACTTGTAAACGGAACATCAAATTAATTGCTCTTCCCTCCATGTTCTTGAAGCTTCCCATTTTTAACAGCACAGCCCTAGACAAAGTCTGGCTTTTTATTTCCCTATCATGAGAACTGGTGTGCAACCAGCCTTGCTGGAGGATAATGCGAACAAAAACTGACCATGGATTCAAAAGATCTTTGCACATTAAGAGGAGAAAACAGGCTCTTAAATCCTGGATCATGGAATCAGAACAAACCTGTAGGATACTCAGGAGAAATAGTTATCCAGATAGGGTGAGTGTAAATCTTCTAAGACATCTATAGATGTCTTCATCCGTTGTGTAAGATTGATGTCTGCCATCTTGCCTTGTGTAGTAGGATGTCCTAACACAGCCTCTGTTGGATTTCTACTGGCAGAACTGGTCAGCTAGCGACCCCTTTATGTGCGTTCATTATATGTCCACGGGGGAGGGGTTGGGAGTTGATTTGTGGCTTTGGGAATGAGAGCAGCTTTAATGTTGTTTGATCTGCGACTCTAAGAGGGGGCAATGTGGAAACATGAAGGATGGGAGGAAACGAATGGTGTCCACACCCATATCCCTTCCCATCAGGCTGCTGAGTAGCATTGAGTTCCCTACCTGTGGAGAGAGGGTTACAGTGGAAGCTGAAGGAACTGTGTTCATGAAACGCTTTGTGAGACTGGAGGTAAGTGTGCAGCGCACATGCAGAATTGTGTCCACAGCCAATCTACCTGTGCCAGCCCTGCTTCAGACCACAGGGCTCCTTGAGTGTTCTGAGGGCTGAGGCTGGCCAGCACCCCATTAGAAGAGACCATGGCACCGAGAAGAGCAGGGTTCTTATGAAGGGAGTAGAGGCAGTAGTGGTAACACTCTTGGACTCCCAGGAACAGCAGGAGAAACACCATATGGGGAGAGAGGGTGCAGACATGTAGGTGGAGGCTAAGAGCTATGGTCATTAATGACATTAATGATGATAGAACCTCACTTGCACCCAAAGGCTGCAAATATCTCTGTTTTGATTTCTGTTTCCAGATTTGTATGAATATCTCATTTACGTTATCACTCCTCCTCATTGATCAAAATCAGCCTCTATTCAGTCTGGTGGCATTTACCCATAAAGGACATGATTAACGGTCCATGGTCTTTTCACCAAGAGAGCCTGAGAACCATTGTTTTGATCTATCTTCATTTCTTTGGTTAGGACAGCACTTGATACCTATTCACAACTGAGTTGGAATATTACACTTTTAAAGAAACTTTTTCCAGAAATACTTTTCCCATGATATGCCAGGAGAAGTCAGTCATACCCTGGAGTTCATTCAATACTGGTCAGGAATTTATTGGCTAACAAATAAAGTACAAGCGATCTCTTGTCCCCTGACCCAGATTCTACACCTCTTCTCACTTCTGGCTAATTAAATGCATGAGAACTAAGATCTTGAGATGCTACCTGATTGTAGCCATTATAGCTGTTCTGGCTAACACGGTTCTTGTTACCTAACTGCAAATGATTGCCAGCAAGGTTGCATAGAACCTTCAGAATGCCTGCGAGGTCAGAATCAGTTCCAGAGATGTGGACCAGTTGCCACGGTGATCCAACGGTAGCATCACTTTATTTATAAATGAAATAAAAGAAATCTTCAGTCACATCTGTTCAGGATGAGCCATTTCCTTTGGAGTCAGGACACTTGAGAAGAGCTTCAAAGGGTTGTCTACTTTGTTGAGGAATAGAAACGGACAATTGAGTTGAAATCTACTACCTCTGCTTAGTGTTTCTGCAGCAAAAGTTGCATACTCTGTCACCAGGGCTTCGTGGGAACTAAACACCAAAGTTTGTTTTTAGGGCTGAAATCAGATGTCATTACTGATCAGTCAAAAGGAAAATTGGGTACACTGGCCTTGCACTGGAGCCCTGGTGGCACAGCGGTTAAGAGCTGAGCTGCTAACCAAAAGGTCAGCAGTTCGAATTCACCAGCTGCTCCTTGGAAGCCCTGTGGGGCAGTTCTACTCTGTCCTATAGGGTCGCTATGAGTCGGAATTGACTCACCAGCAGCGGGTTTGGTTTGGGTCAGGGCTTGCATTCACCTCTCACCAAGCTTTTGTGATATAAATGCAATTGTACTCTTTCAGAACCCAAGTATGTCAAAGCTAGAAGGGACCAAATTCTTGATTTGGGCTGCCATGTTTCAATTGCCTGAGTGCGAGGAAGCAGGCCATGGCTAAAACAGGTTGTACAACTCCTTGCTAAGAAGGAATACAGTTGGGTTCCATTGCCTCAACTTTCATGGCACCACGTGTCTCTCCTTCAAAGTACTTATTCTAGTTGACAGTTTTACGTGTGTGTGTATGTATGCAATAGTCTATCTTTCTCCCATACTACATGAGAAGTTCCATGAAGGCAGATGTTGTTTCTTTTGCTCATCTTTATATCCCCAGCATCTAGCATGGCCTTGTTTGTTGATTGAATAAATAAATGAATGAATGAAAATTCATGGGGAGTATGAGAATGGGGTCCTCAATTTATAGAGAAGAAAATAGGCCCCAAGAAGTAAAAAGTTGTCCAAGGCCACGCCTTAAAGAAGTGACAATGGTCTTTGCAAAAATCTAGACTATAATTGTGTCCCATAGGGAGCTGTCTTGGGCAAAACTGAGAAAGGGGTTGGTATGTCCACATCTTCCACAGTTCCAAAGGATCTAAAGGGCAAAAGGCAGGGAATGCTGTGGGAGCCAATACTTTCTTAGGGCTCCTGCTCTGGCCAATAGGGCCAAAGCATCACTTGGAAATACCAGACCTCACAATCAAGGCTTTAGATTTCAAATTCTTCTGTACTTCCCCAACAGGTGTTATTTGTTTTGCTCTTTCTCTGAAACATTGTTTTTCTACATTTTATCTCCAGAGAGATTGGAATCAAACTGTTTTGTAGTTATGCCTACAGTCTCTTCATTGCCCCAATGTGTTTTTGTGATTTCTGAGCATATTTTTAAAAAAAGAAGAAGAGGAAGAAAGAAAAAACAAAAAGAAACAAAATCTACAGACCCAACAGAGGTCCGTGTCTGACCTTCTTCCCACTCTGTGTCTACTTCGGAAGTTATCAGAATCACCACATGGTGGCCTAGAAGATCTGCTGGACAGAGAGACCAGCCCCTGTGTCTCTGATGCTGTCCCAAAGGGAAAAGGAGACAAATTCACACAGCTCCTCTGAACAGAGTACCTATTCTCTAAATAGGAACGGGGCAGCTGTGGGCCACAAGGCTCAGGACAAAATCACCCAGGAGGAAACTTACCAAGGGTGTGGGAATCACAGAAGAAGCTTGGCTGTTTTTCGAGCTTCTAGTTAGGACTTTACCTGTAATCGCCCAAGGGCAAAAGGAGACACAAAGCTGAAGGGCCTCTCCTTGGCTCAAGACTAGGACCGAGGTCCTTGGGCCTGTCCTCCTCTACTTCTGACCTCTCTCAGGGGACCTTGGCTCCTAGTTGATTTCAGATGTACAAAGTTTCCTTCAGTCAAAGAGTAAGGCTGCGTCTCAAAGTTTGTGTGCTGGAGAGGCCTGTGGCCCTCCAGATATCAGGTATAGCTGTCTCAGGGCCTCCTTCCTCCCTGCTCTACACACATCTTCACTGAAGAAGACTACAGTGCCCTTCTGTCATCACTCAGGATGCCTTTGTCACCATTAAAGCAGATATGTTCCCCAGCCCATGGACTGGCTGCTTTGGTCTCCAAGGGACCAGGCACTAGGTGGGGAGTGGGGGGGGAGACACTCACTTGTTTGAAAGCTGCTCCTATCGCCTTTAGTTTTCTCTAATTCCTGACCCCAAACTGCTACTTACCCCTTCTATTCCTTTGACTTCTCCTTCTTTTGGTCAAATAATGACTGACTATAGAGATGATCCCCAAGGCCGTGATCAGTGTGCAGATGATGAGAATGGACATCCTGGGAGGAATCACAGACAAATTTCACGTCTCTTAGAAGAAGCCACCTTTTTGTTCTCTGCTCAAGAGTCCCTGTTCTGGATCTGTTCTCTCCACCCAGTTACAGTAGCTCCTGGCAACTACATTCCTGCTGAGTGACCCTGGGCCCAGGCCACACTTGATTGGACCTGGGGTGAGCCCCTGATCGAGCTGGGCCAACAAGCCCCCTTCCTTAGGAACTAATTTGGGCCTGGGAGTAGGAGAATCCAGTCTCAGACTGGTGAGTTTCTTGAAGGGGGGAGATATAAACTCATATCTTACAAATGAATATCTTCTCCCATGACAAGAAAAAAAAGGCCGTCTGGAGAGAAAAGGAAACAAACACATGTAACAGTAGCAAATTAGAGACAGAGATAAATTCCTGATGACACTCCCGACAATTTCTGAGGGTGGCCACATCTCTGCCCGTGCATTTCATAAGACACTGCTTTCTCCTTAAGATGAACTCCTTTCCATTTTAATTAGAGGGCATTTTTGATGCTTACAACCAAGAGCCCTAAACCATACTTCTTCGAGGAAAACCAAATGACCACACTGAGGATAAATAGTTCAGGTGGAGAAACGATACATAGCTGAAAAGTAGCAGGTGCAAATCAGTTGTCATGTCACGTTGTTGTTGCCTCCCTCTCCTACCCCCACGACAGTCCGCGTCCATTTGTCTCCTAAGGTCACAGCTCACCTGGAGCGATCTGCCTTCTGGACAACTTTTGAAGCCCTGCAGCTTCTGTTCTTGTTGCCTAGAAGGTCTGAATCAGAAAGGATTTGTTGAGAATCAAGCAAGACCCACACCTAAGCCCTTCCTTTGCCTTCCAGCTGCGTCTCTACCTGTCCCTGTTTCAATCCCCAGAGAGTGGGTGCCTTGATTGACTTCCGGGCAGAGCAGAGGCACCAAGTCCAGTTGTATAATTGTGCCCTGCTTAGGGCACAACCAGTTGCCATCAAGTTGGTTCTGACCCCTGGTGACCCCATGTGTGTCAGAGTAGAGCTGTGTTCCATAGGGTTTCCAATGGCTGATTTTTCAGAAGTAGATCACCAGGCCTTTCTTTTGAGGTGCCTCTGGCTGGACTCGAACCTCCATCCTTTCAGTTAGCAGTTGAGCCCATTAACTGTTTGCACTACCCAGGGACGTGGAGAGGGGACAAGTAGCTGTGGCAATCCATCCCATATTCTGCTTGCCAAGCCATGCACCCTGGCACTGGACTCCACGCACCTGGAGGACTCCAAGGCACTGTATGGACTAGAAGTAGTCTGCGGTCAGAGCGTTCCAGGCTGGGGGGCATGGGAAGGAACACCAGAGGCACCAGAGGGCCAGTCCCTATCCTTAAGGACAATCAATAAGTGAAGTAATTGCCACATCCTTCTCACAACCACCCAAACCCAATGGGAGAAGTCCCACCAAGGCCACCCACACTGCTCCTCTGATAAGACCCAGGAGGAGTCTGTGCTTCATTTGGACTACAGAGGGCATTGAGGTGGGACTTCTCTTATCAGGAACCTAAAACTCAGGACAAGCTAGACAGTTAAGTAAACACAGAACCACACCAGAGTAGAAACACTAGGTGTGAAGGACACTGCCCATCCAGTAGGAATGCTTGCTGGATGAATGAGTTACCAGTGGGTCCGGTGTGAGCAAGGCTCTCTTTCTAACATGAACAAAGGCTTCCTACCACCTCCCTTAAGTTCTTCTGGTTTGTGTTCCTAGGTCTGCTCTACCGGCATTGTCCTCTAGACTGTGATAGAAAGACATCCCTTCTAGAAATGGAAACAATAAGAATCTATAGGAGAAAAAGAGAAAAAGGCTAGTGCCTTCCAGAAGCTCTCTGCCTGAGAGCAGAGGTTTTCTGGTGTAAAAAGAGGTTTTTCAGCATTCAAAAGAAGAAATGTGGTGAGCATCTGCAGCCCTGACCGAGAATTGCAATTGATTGGCTTGGACAGATTCCTCCCTATAGGCTCCAGTTCTACCCACACCCTCCCAGGGCCTCCTAGTGTAAACTGCACTCCTTAAAAGTAAGAGGGCATGGACCAGTTAGACAACGATATTCCTCACCGTAAATTATTAAACTATTTAAACAGACTGTTTTGTTTCATTTTAGATATTTTAATGCATGTCACAAGGAGTCTCAAATTACTTCCTAAGTTTTTGTTTGTTTTAAGGTGTACCATATGGCTCTGGTAACATATTTATTTGACCTGTATTACATTGGTATGCTTACTTTATTTATTTATTTTTTATTGTACTTTAGATGAAGGTTTACAGAGCAAATTAGTTTCTCATTAAAAAATGAATACACATATTGTTTTGTGACATTGGTTGCCAACTCCATGACATGTCAACACTGTCCCCTTCTCAACCTTGGGTTTCCTATTACCAGCTTTCCTGTCCCCTCCTGCCTTCTTGTCCTTGCCCCTGGGCTGGTGTGTCCCATTAATCTCATTTGGTTTTATGGGCCTGTCTAATCTTTGGCTGAAGAGTGAACCTCAGGAGTGACTTTAGTACTGAGTTAAAAGTGTGTCCGGGGGCCATACTTTTGGGATTTCTCCGGTCTCTGTCAGGCCAGTAAGTCTTGTTTTTTTTTTTTTTTTTTTTTTTGTGAGTTAGAATTTTGTTCTATATTTTTCTCCAGCTCTGTCCAGGACCCTCAGTTGTGATCCCTGTCAGAGCAGTCGGTGGGTAGTGGTAGCTGGGCACCATCTAGTTGTGCTGGACTCATTCTGGTGGAGGCTGTGGTAGTTGAGGTTCTAAATGGACAATTTTTGAGAGTGCTCCTTCAGGTGCCTGGGTCACTTTTGGCAGCATCAGCCACCTCTCAAGAAACTAATCTTTAAGATTCTAGAGCTTCAAAGCTAACACTAAACCACAGAGCACAGAGATTTAAGAGCAAACTCAAAACCTTCTCTGACCTTAGCTCATTTTTTCATCAATAGAGAAATTGCACATCTGTTTGATCCCGTGAGCATCTTCCAAGTTCCAGGAACCAGACCACCATGAGGGGAAGAAATTTCCAGGAGCTCCCCAGGGCCCAGATACATTTCTCTTCCCCAAACTCCAAGTTAATCTCCAGCACCATCAACAATCACCCTGTCGTGGAGGCAGGGAGAGATCTAGGTTTCCCCCCAGAGAACCTTCAGAGGGCCTGAGTTGGTGTTCACTTGCTTCGGTGAATATTTATCCCACCAACAAGCATCCACTACTGTGGGCTGCCCTCAACTAGACTCCTGAAAGTCTCCTTACCTTTCTCAGATGAAAAATCATCGGTGAGAGCTCCTCTGTTGTCAGTCACAACCAACTCTGTAAAATCCATGTCATCCCTGGCAAAGTCCCGCTGGATGCCACACCAGTACCAGCCCGTGTCCTCCTTGGTCAGGCAGGACACGGTGACAATGAGCTGGTTTCCCGTGTCCCTCAGGGCCACACGGCCGGTGCTGTTGGGTGTGAAGGCGATGATGTTGCAGTAGTCCCGGAAATAGCCTCGACACCAGTATTTGGGGTAGTCCTTATAGTGAGCATCATAGTTGCAAATGGCAGAAGCTGTGTCCAGCACAAAGCTCTCCTTGACCTTTTCATCCATGACCATGGCATCTGTGAAAATACATACACATGCACACTCACACACACACACACACACACACACACTCATCATCATTCTTTCAAGCACATTGTAGCTCCTGCCCTCCTGGGGGGTAATTAATAAAAACACTGGAAACAAAGTTTTGTCTGTTTTGGGTTGGTCCCTTTCCCTAAACTAAAAAACAAAACAAACAAAAAACAGTTGCTGTTAAGTCGACTCCAATTCATGGCAACCCCATGTGTGTCAGAGTAGTACTGTGCTCCATAGGGTTTTCAGTGGCTGATCTTTCAGAAGTAGATCACCAGGCCTTTCTTCTGAGGCACCTCTGTGTGGACTCGAACCTCCAGCCTTTCAGTTAGCAGCCGAGGATGTTAACCATTTGCTCCTCCCAGGGACTTCTTCCCTAGCCTAAGTGTGGGTAAAGAATGGGTCCCTTCACTTCAAGAATGTAGAAGGCCTCTCACCATTGCTTGGCAGGGACACTTGAAAAGCCTGAGGTTTACTTTTAAGTAGATCCTCTGCCTCTATCCCCCACCCCGCCACGGCACCTCAAAAAGAAAGGAGAAGGGTTGAAGATTATTTCCTTCTGCTGGCTCCACAGGGCTGACAACAAAGGAAGTTAGTTTCTGTCTTTAGAGGCTAGAAACACCATATTTCCTCTGTACCAGACCAGTGTGGGGCACTTCTAACATCACAGTATATTGCATAATAAGGAAATCATGCACACCATGTCCAGCTTGACTGTGGCTGGGGAAATGTCTGACTCAGGAGAGCCCATCCACCTCTCGGTCTTCCAGATGTGTCCTGGGGACCCTTCAAATGCTGCCTTAACTGTGCCTCAGAGTGGCTGGGACCATGCTATCAAGCAGGCTCACATCCTTGATGTCATGTTATTCTCCTAACCACCCCACAAGGAAGATGATGTAATCCTCAGTTTACAGGCACAGGAACTGATGCAGAAGGGTGCAGTAACTCTCAAAGGTCACAGAGCTGGAGGCGGCAGAGCGGGCCCTAAGCTCAGTCTTCTGAGTCTCATCTTTGGGACCAGGTAGGGACAGAAAGGGGTAAGACCTGTGCTCACATATCTGCACAGGCATTTTTGAGGGAGAAGGGGGACGGGAAGGGGAACTTAGCTAAACTGAAAGAGAGAATACGAAGCCCTTAATTTAACCAAGGGTTTCAAATTCCCTACACACCCTCTTACCAGAACTAAGACCAAGAACTAACATGGACAAGATCTATTTTCACCTCCTTTTATCTTCTCTTTGTTAGTTAGAGCTAACAAGCAGAGATTCAAGGTAGGAGAGGAGAAGGAAATTCAAGGTCTCTAGGAAGACCATGAGTCCCTGGATGGTGCAACTGCTAGCTGAAATGTTGGTGGTTCAAACCCACCCAGAGGTGCCTTGGAAGACAGGCCTGGTGATCTGCTTCCAGAAAGTCACAGCCTTGAAAACCCTATGGAGGACGGTTCTAGTCTGCACACATGGGGTCATTAGGAGTTGGAATCCACTCAATGGCAACGAACAACATCAAGAAGACCATAGATTGGAGGGCTAGAGATGCTCCTACCCAACTCTTACCTGAAAAGATGGCCAAGGAAAGTAGAATGAAGAGCACCATGATCGGAAGGAAGCAAACCTTCAACAGGAAAGTTGAATGTACTCAGGGATCTCAGGAATCCTGAATCTGTTTAAGGGAAATAGATTCGTTTGAGCTTAAGATGGTTTTATCCTGTTTGGAGAGACCAGTGAAAGGATGGAACAACCAGTGAATGCAAGCAGGACTGCCACATACAGTTACCTAGGTTGTGTACTGCACAAGGTACCTAATCTGGGGGGCCATTTGTGGACATAAACTTACTTATATAATAGAATGGGGCAACTGAGACAATACCGGACTTCCTGGTGAAGCCCAAAACAGCAGTGGAGATCTCCCTCCTGTATAAATCCACACCAGCACACAAGGCCTTGCACACACTCAGAAGAGCACATGTACACACACCATCACTGGTGCACATTTGTGTGTGCATCTGTGCTCTGTCCCACCGCTGGCCCAGGTATTACCAGAGGCCACTCCCCTTGTCCATCTACCACTTGTGCAGGCTCAATTCCTATTCAGCTGAGAGGACGCTCAGTAAGGAGGTTCCTAACTAACTGACTCCTAAGTGGACACTGAAGCCTCACCTGGGGAGTGGGAGTCAAGGGATGAAGCATGCACACCACTGGTAGAATATGTGTCTCGCATCTGGAACATGTGAGTGGGCAGGTATGGGTGTCAGCAGCCAGGTCTATGGTCTCCAGACTTCCTGAAAGCTTTCTAGGACAGAGCTAGGCCAAATCAGGGAGATGTGTCCAAGCACAGCAGCTTCTCCTGACACTTTATGGGACTCACATGCTCTGACCACTGATTTTAAGTTTGAATTATGGAACTACCCCTCACACTCCAGAGCTAGTACTTTACACTAGGAGCCAGAAGTGAATTGTCCAGGTTGTGCAATAATATCCTTGCTACAGGAAGGGGTGCCTTCCTCTAATTCATACAAAGTCAGCATATGAGCCAGCAGCCAGCCTGATGGCAAGCCTACATCGTGGTCAGCGTTTTAACAATATTACCTCATTTAATCCTCATCAAAAACCTCTAAGAGTTCGACAAATAAATTACAATGAAAAAGAAAGAAAGAAAGAGAAACCTATAGATTTGGGGACTTAAGAGAGAGATTGACAAATTGCAAAATATGGAACTTATTTGAATTCTGATTCAAGAAGTAATTGGGAAAATTTGAGCACTGATAATATTAAAAATATTCGAAAATTATTGTACTTTTTTTCAGATGTGATAATGGTATTGTGATACCCAGCCTCAAAGATGGATCCTAGTATTCATGCACTTTGCATAGTCCCGTCCCAAACTGAATCAGGGCTGCCCTGTGTGACCAATAAAATATGGCAGAATTGATGGTATATGACTTCTGAAGCTAGGCCATAAAAGACCTCCAATTTTCATTTCAGTCTCTTGCATTGCTCCCTCTTGGAGAAGTCAGCTGCCATGTTGTAAGGACTCCCAAGCAGACCGGTGGAGAGGCCCATTGCGGAAAAAGAACCAAGTTGTCAACATCAGCTTGCCAGACATATGAGAGAGCCATATTGAGAGTAGACCCTCCAGCCCCAAGCAAGCCTTCAGATGACTGCAGATCCAGCTACCTCAGAAGAAACCCAAAGCAAGAACCATCAAACCAAGATGCTCCTAAATTTCTGACCCAGAGGAACCACACAAGATAATAAACGATTATTGTTTTAAGCCTCTAAGTTTTGGGGCAATTTGTTTCATATCAGTAGATAATTAGTATAGATGTATGGTTATAGTTTTTTAAAGCACTCATCTCTGAGAATGAAGCGTGCAAAACAAACACACTTTAGAATTGCTTGGAGATGGCACCCATGAAACCAAAGAAAATACCAGCAGAAAGAGAAATGGACTGTGCGCAGATACATGCCAGTAGAAAAGCACAAGACATGAAAAAGTAGCATTCTAAAGCAAATGACTTAATGGCAATTTTTTTTTTTTTTTAAGCAAATGAAAGGCCCAGAGTTACAGAGAATAAATGGTTGTATCTATTAGCACCTTGACTAGTACTTGATGTTATTGGTTCTGTTGCTCCCTCCTAAGGGTACAGTTACTTTTCACTCTATTTAGATGCATAAATAAGAAGGTAAATGGGTAATGACAAAAAACTAAATGTAATTTTAAAATATTTTTAGAAATAAATACTGAAATGTTTACATACGGAATAATTTGATATCCAGAATTCCAAATAATCAGGGTAGGGCAAGGGGATGGCAGTCTAAATGAAACAAGATTGGCCAGAAGTTGATAATTATTAAAGCAGGATGACAGATATATGAAGGTTCATTATTCTAGTCTCTCCACTTTTGTATGTTTGAAATTCTCCACAATAAAAAGTAAAAAAACAAACAGAAACAACTTTGACCCGGTATTATTAGTCATGTTTTATAAATGAGGACAATTTAAGTAACTTGCCCAACTTCACACAGCAAAGCCACTGTATCACACTATGCTGCTTCCTCAACAGCAATATCCAAAACCAAACCCATTGCCGTCCAGTGGATTCCGATTCATAGCGACCCTATAGGATAGAGTAGAACTGCCCCATGGGGGTTCCAAGGAGCAGGTGGTAGATTCAAACTGCCCACTTTCTGGTTAGCAGCCGAGCTCTTAAGGACTGCACCACCAGAGCTCCTCGATAGTAATAATACTGTAAAACTGTAGCATACTGTAGAGTTTACAAAGACTTCACTCACACACACCACTCTCTTTTGAGTAGTTGGGACAAGATGCTGCTCAAGTCCTCTATTCCCATCATAACCAGCTGTAGTATGTGTAAGGACAGTTTCTCTAGAAAACGAGCGGGCATTTAGTTGACTTGATGGAAAAAAAAAACAGTGAATAAACTCAACATATACTTTTGTTCCAGTTAATTTTGTGGAGGAGGAGAAAGCAAATCTGGGTTTTGTCTGGGTGGTCTCTCACCTTATTCCTTTGGAATAAAAGTCAAACTGTTACCCCTTTACTGTTGAGCTGAAAGGGCGTTGGCAGGAGAGAGGCTTGTGGAGAGATTCCGGTGACACTAATCTCTAAACCTGAAACCAGCGGGGGATCTCACCACTTCTAGCCAAGCTCCTCACCAGTGATTCTTGCTTCATCTTTTTTGATTCCAACTAGAAATACATTTTCACTTTTCGGGCTGCTTCTGGGCGAGTAAAATACACTATCTCCCAGCTGAAACTCCCAGCTGACAGAAAAGGAAAAAAAAAAATCTTCCTGCAAACCGTCAGTGGATTTGCTAAACAGTGGCAATAAAGAAGGAAAAGAGAGAGAGGGAGAAGGGAAAGGGAAAGATGTTTTTCTGAAACTCAGACGCTATTGCTTGTCTAATGGCACCAATAATGTCTCTTCCCTCAGGAAAGACTGCTGCTTTGTTCTGAAGGAAGTGATCACTTTATATCAAGTTTCCAGAAAGGGCAGGTTCTAAACATCGCTAAGGCAACCTGGTTGTTAGTAAATGAAGAGGTTTTGTGGGAAGGTTATCCTGAGCCTGAGGGCTGAAGAGCACTTCCCCTTAATTCTCCAACTGGGGAAATGTTGCTGCTAGGGCTGAGCAGTGTGCCAGGGTCACCCAAAGTCCCAAAATAAACCCAGTGTGTCCTCCTGTGGGGGCATTTTAACTTAAGAAAAAATTGTTGGGAAAAATGTTTGAGTCAAACAAGGAAACACCATTAAGAAAAAAAAATTAATTGGCTTGTATTTAAAAATATATTAATAAATTTTAAATAAAGATTTATTTTATTTAATAAAAATATATTAATAAAGTAAATTTTAAAAATTATAATAAAATTTTAAAATGCTGCTGCACCAATAAACCAAAAACTCGTTGCCCTTGAGTCGATTCTGACTCCTAGTGACCCTATAGGACAGAGTAGAACTGCCCCATAGGGTTTCCAAGGAGGGCCTAGTAGTTGCAAACTGCCAACCTTTTGGTTAGCAGCCATGTTCTTAACCACTACGCCACCAGGGTTTCCTGCTACCCCAACAGAAATGTTAAAAAAAATAACAAATAAATCATCTAAAATGTTAAGGGAAAAATTGTCAAGACTAATTTCCCACTTCCAGGTACCAGGAGGGACGGAGGAGTTGTGTTCAAATCCTCTGTTCTTAAGAATATTATTACTAGGGGTGGGAGGCGGAGGAGCGGGTGATGAACCCTGTTTGGCATTAGTAAGAAAGTAGATTCAAAGTTTTTAAACTTCCCAGATAGTGTTGATTCTTCCTGGGGCCACCAGGAAGAGGAATAAAGACCCTTTGCTGAAAAAAAATTTTAACAAGCTAAATATGATTATCGGGCTTTGGCCTAAGTTACTGGAGTTAGGAAAAACTTGCAGAAATGGCTAAGAATTAAATGAAAAACATTTTCAAATACACTTATCCTCTTTAACACTGTTTAATTGAAATCTCCATCTTGTTGGTCTTGCCAAGTTAATATTTTGTCCTGGGAGTAAAAATCCACAATTGCAAATTTGGGTAGACCAAACCAGAGATGTCACCTTGAATCTCCAGAACCACACTGGACACTCGAATGATGTGACTGGCACTCTGTAACTGTCTGGTATCCTGATTACTTAGATAGTATTGTTGTTGTTGTTAGGTGCCGTCGAGTCAGCTCCGACTCATAGCAACCCTACGTACAACAGAATGAAACATTGTCCCGTCCTGCGCCATCCTCACAATCGTTGTTATGCTTGAGCCCATTGTTGTAGCCACTGTGTCAGTCCACCTCATTGAGTGTCTTCCTCTTTTATGCTGACCCTCTACTTTATCAAGCATGATGTCCTTCTCCAGGGACTGGTCCCTCCTAAGAGTATAGCTAAGGCAAAAAACCGGCAGCTCAAGTGTACCAACTATAGTTTATACCAATCTAGCTGCTAATTATACATAACGTGAGCTTGATAATTTGGACTCTGGAGAAGTTACACGTTCCTTTTCATGTCTGAGAACAGATGGCAACAAGCGAGGGTTCTCACATAAGGCAAAGGTTTGTTTAAATCCTGGTTTGACTGCCGATCTTTTGGTTAGCAGCCAAGAGTTAACCACTGGGCCACCAGGGCTCCAAAATCCTGGTTCTACTACTTATTAATTATGTGACTATGAAAAAGTTACTTAACTTCTCCGTGCTTAGTTTTTTCTCTTACAAAATGGAGATGAGAATAATAGTGGCTCCTACCTCCCAGATGGTCAGGACAAAAAGAGATAATGCATGCAAAGTGCTAAGTGCATTGAAAGTACTCAGTAAATAATAGTGAGCCATTGTCCCTTTTTGCCCTACCCCCACTGCTCCCATTAAAATGAATCACCAGGACAAATGATTAGGACTCAGCTCCAGAGACAGGATCATTCTTTCTCTAACAATAGATGAATGGCTCATAAAGTTGGCAAATGTTCTGGTCAGCTCAGGAATAAGGGGCATGGTGTTCTGGGGAAGGACAAGAAGCCCATAATTCACACAGATGAACACCCAACGTGGCTCTAGGTAGTGAGCAGGCTGAGTGCCAGGAGCAGCCAGCTGGGTCTCCAAGCCCCGAGTGGTCCTGACGCCCAGCAAACAGCTACACGCAACAGTTAGCTATAATTTTTTATTCACTCAAATACATTCACAGGTGATTTATCAGTTTAAGTCCTCCTTACACTGAGCTCCCAACATCTCCTGGACATCTGCTGAGAGCAGGGTTCCCAGAAGCTGCAATGGAGTGGAACTGACTACATGTCCAGCCAGCAGGTAAGTCAAGGAGGCATCCTTCACACTCCATGACTTCTCCTTCTGTACGGGAAGGAAGAACACAGTAAGCAGTAGCAACAATAGTGCACTGTCTTCAAGTCAGGCCTCTAGAAAATTGCATTAGAGGAAGAGGGTAGGGGAGGTACCATTAGGGGCAACCAGCCAAATGCTCCCCATCTCAGTGGAAGGAATCAAGGAATGTAAAATCCCCTGGCCCAGATGAATAGGCCCTCAAGTGTTTGTTGAATCTGAAGGTCAATCTGAATACGAAGGTAATCTTCCATGGATAACTACTCAGAAGTCTGCTCACTGCTTGTGTCCAAGGAATCAGAGGACCGGCAAATCACACAGGCTTTGAAGATCAAGAGGTAGGTCTCCTTGAACTTCTTTATTTTACAAGCATAGATGATAGGGTTCATCATAGAGTTAGCATGGGACAGCAGGATGCCCAAGTGTAGCAGAATTTGTGGTACCTCACCACCAAAGTAGGTAATACAGTTGACAATGGATAAAGGCAGCCAGGACAAAGCAAACAAGAAGAGAACCAGAAACAGGGACCTAGCTGTCTTAAATTCCCGTCCATAAAATGTGCTCATCTCTTTGGAACTAGAAAACTTCTGATTAAGTTTGTTCCTGATGACACAGAAGATGTCAAGGTAGATAGCACACATGACAATCAGGGGGATCAAAATCCAGGTGAAGAAGCTGAGGTAGACCATGTAGTCCATCTTCATAACGGAACGGAATTGGCATGGAAAGTAGGTGACATTTCTGTTGTACCCTGGGGTCATTTTCATGTTCCAGCCAAACATGGGTGTCAATCCCACCAGGAATGACACCAGCCAGCAAAGGCCCAGTGCCAACCATATTCTTCTTTGAGTGGTGACCCTCCTGTATCTGTTTGAAGGGAAAAGAGCCAATGAGTTCATGGCAGGAATTGCTAAAGGACTGAGGGAAACGGAACTAGTAAAAGAGCGAGATTGTGAGATAAGCATGCACTTTCTTAATTACCCAATCTGCTGTTCCGAGAGAAGCGCATTGATATTCTATGGTGACTACAGCTAAACTCTACTCAATATGAAGACAAGATGAAAACACAATGATTAGAAAAAAACCCAGCCAACTTCTCTGGGGACTTTTCTAAAGAAGTCCTATCTAGAATGGATTAGGAATATGTTACCTTGAGTCAGGTGCTTGCAAAACCAACTCGTAGCTCCATTTCCAGCCCAAGAATTCTTTGATTCCTGGGAGGTAAGATTTATCTAAGTCTCCTGAATTGTCTACCTGGTGAGAAATGGTCTTCTCAAATCATAGTTGCCTGCTGTGCTATACATTGTTTTGTTTGACTGTTGTGCTGATGCTCATAAACTATAAGATGCTTCTCCCACACTTTTCCTCTACCTGTGCCTGCTCCTGCTCCAAGTGCTGTTAAATGAGTCAGTGGAGATGCAAAGGTTGTGTTAAAGTGTGTCAAGGACCTTGAAAGGCTCACCCAGTGAGTCACCATTTCTCCTTAAACGGTCCTTCCTGACAAGATCCTCTACAGACTTCAAGAAGGAAACTAATATTTTCGAGTTTCTACTAAGTACTTTGTAGACTTTATCTCAATTAAATCTCACAACAAACTGGAGATATTTTTATGCTAATCTTCATTTTATTGATGATAATGATGAAAACAACAGTAGTTATAGCTGTCACTTATTGAGCATACACTATGTGGGAGGCATTTTTCTAAGAGCTTTGCATGTGTTAACTCATTTAATTCTATGAGGAAGGTGCAACTATCATCTCCATTTTAGAGGTGAAAAAATATGAAATACAGACAAGTTAAGTAACTTGTACAAGCTAGAAGTGGTGGAGCTAAAATTGAAATCAAATAAGTCTGAGTTCAAAGCATCTTAACTGTGATGAGGAAACTGAGGCAGAGAAACTTAAATAACTTGCCCGTCGGATCTCAAGATTCTGAGATTTGAACCCAGACTTGTTTGTATCTAAAGCTTGTTTGTAGTTCCCTCATCATGGTCTTTCCGTAAGACTGACAAGTTCAGGACACCTGGGGAAATGGATTTCTCCACTGGGCAGTCTGTTCTCTTCACTTGCTCACACAAAGGTTGGTACTACTTTCGCAACAGACAACTATTTTGGGAAATAAGAGAGAAGAAAAAGGAACAGAAGAAGAAATACCCACATTATATATATATATATACATACATATATATGTATATATATATTCATTCTAAAGAGCCCTTTCTCAAGATGGGGGTGGGCACAGAATAGGAAGCAAAGTTAAAACAATCGCCTACATTTGTGAAACAACAAAACCATCAGCCTATTACTTCTTATCTTCTTATCTGCCGGCTTATCTAGAAGGTTTCCATCATTTTTAAAACTCGAGAACATTTTACTAATTAAAAATGCATTAAGCTGTCATCATCTTTAGCTACCCTAAGGAATCAAGCAGACACCCATTAATCAATGGAGATGGATTAGAGCATTCCTCTGTTGCAAGTTTCTGAGCCTTGGCTCACATTCTTAAACTCCTCACAGACCAGATAGTGGAAATATATATATATTGCCCCTTTTCAAGCTCGGGGGCCAATTCAGGTTCTTTTTCACTCAAAAAGTATGCCATCTGAACTTTGTAGCCCCATTTCCCAGGAACTTTTATCACTGCCCCTACTGCACCCCTCTTCGAACAGGTTACCTGACAGTGAGCTTGACTCGTAGGTATCGATCCACAGCAATGGCCAGCAAGGACATGATGGAGGCATGGGTGAAGATCAGCAGCAGGCAGGTCATGAAAAGGCAGCTATAGAAATGGATCATGATGTCCAGGCTGATGACAATGGCCAAAGGCATGACCAGCACCCCAACAGCAATGTCAGCCAGGGCTAAGGAAACAATGAAATAGAAGGTGGTGGTCTGCAGGCTGGGGTTCAGCTTGACCACCCAGATGACCAGCATGTTGCCTACTATGGCACAGAGCCCGATGAGAATTTCTGCGGTGATGTAGGTGATGCTGGGCAACGTCAGGGCCGTGCTGTTGACAGACATCTTGCTTTCCCAGAGGAGCCTCCCAGGTGACAGTTGTGCCAGCAGAATCCGTGTGGCCCAGTGAACCTATCTCTTGTCAGACATCTTCCTAGAGGTCAAGTGCAGCAACTGTCTAAAACTCACAGCTCATCCATTCCTTGTCTTCTCCGGTGGGGTGCTCTTTTGGAGATCTCCCCTCTCCTTAGACAGTGCCCAGCACAGGGCAATCACTTCCAGCCCTGCTGGGGGCCACACATCCCTGGGTTCCTGGAAGCCTGGAGGACAGTTCTGTGTAGGTTGAATCTGAAAGCGCCGCTGTTCTTAGCTCCCCAGACAGACACACTAAAGGCCTCTGCCTATGCTGCCTCGGAGGGCTTCTCAGTCTCCATCAAGATAAGCCCCCCTCTTCAGGGGTGTTTCAGGAAGTGAGATGGGCTAAGAGGAAGTTCAGAGCCAGGCAGGAAAGCTCAACAAGAGGATGGAAAGAGCAGAGGAGGGGGTGGTGTGAGTGGCATGGGGGAGGAGGTTTATCATGAGATCTTCCATTCAGGAACCAGATGAAAGTATAGCACTGGATGAGAAAGGAGCTGAAAGTACTGACTACAGAATATTCTGATTTTGTGCTAGCTTAGCAGAAAGATTCCGTGAGAAGGATGCAAATGCGAGAAGAGGAGGAACAAGAAAGGGACTTGGGTTGCAGACCCCTAATCTAAGCCAGAAGTTATTCCTCCTTAGCATACCAGTAACTCCTGAAAATTGGACAGCACGAGTAGACTCTTTGCTGAGGACAGCTGATACCCAGCCAGTGCACCAAAGATCCTCTGCCAAAGGGACAAGCTAGGGGTCCCTGCTCAGAACAGCAAAAACCTCCCCGCTTCCCACAAGCATCACATCTGCTGACCTTCTAGCTCCCATTCCCAGCCCATGTGCCCAACAAAGTCTCACACTAGTTATTAAGTTGCTGTTGAGTCTGCTCAGACTCATGGCGATCTTTTGTATAACAGAACAAAACATTGCCCAGTCCTGCACCATGTTCATGATCATTGCTATGTCTGGGTCCATTGTTTCAGCCACTCTGTCAATCCATCTCATGGAGGGTTTCCCTCATTTTCATTGACACTTTACCAACCATGATGCCTTTTTCTAGCAATTATCTTTACTGATGACATATCCAAAGTGAGCAAGCCGGAGTCTTCCCATCCTTGCTTCTAAGAAGCATTCTGGTTGTATTTCTTCTAAGATTGATTTGTTTGTTCTTCTGGCCCAAAAACTAAACCAAAAACCCGTTGCCGTCGAGTTGATTCCAACTCAGAGTGACCCTATAGGACAGAGTAGAACTGCCCCATAGGGTTTCCAAGGAGTGGCTGATGGATTTGAACTGCTGACATTTTGGTTAGCAGCCATAGCTCTTAACCACTGTGCCACCAGGGCTCTAGCCAGCATATGTCAAATCTGTTTGAAGAGCAACAGGACAACTGGATGACCAGTCATGCAGAAAGGAGGGAAAAGGTAACAAATGCACATAATCACGTGGCATATCCCCTTCACCTACAGGAACCATGGCCTCTGTTGGGGAATCAGACCGCTGCTCTAGGAACAGCACTCCCTGGTCAGCACCTTCTGGGCACCACCCACTTGAATGCAATTGTTATTTGGGGGCCATCTAGTTCAAGTGCTTCTCGGCATTTTCCCAAAGGTTTATTTTAACCAGACATGTTACAGAGATGGCAAGAAGGAATAGTTGGAACCTAAGCCCACACTGTGGGTTAAGGGGTTTATAATATTTTCCTTAAGCATCAACATATGTACAGTCAAAAATAAAATTCAAGGATAACAACAGTGTTGTTCTGGTGTTTACTAGCAACCACTTCTCTATAGGGTACTAAAAAGTTGCCTTGGCACAGGTCCTGTCTCGGTCCTCTTCTTTAGTTGTTCTGCTTCTACATCATCCACGGATCCCCCTGATATATCCCAAGTTAGTCCAAGTCTGACCAACCCTGCTGGACTTGCCATTTCTCCCTTAGGGATTGTCCCAATTGTAGGCGGCAGTCCTCTCCCACTGCGCGTCCACTGCTCTTGTGTTTTTCAGGTGTGTTAGCTGCAGCCTGCATCCATGCACTGCTGGAACTTCTGAAGGTTTGCAGCCTCCAACGCAGGCTCTCACAAATGTTTCTACTGCAACTGCTTTCTTTATCCATGCTTTGGAGGAGGAATTTACAGAGTCTGATTTCCAAAAGGCTGCATGCTACTGAAAAAAAAAAAAAAGCCTTTCCACTATAAAGCAGTCCTTATAATCTTGGTGACTCGATAGAAAAAATTCACCTTTTCCCCCCACCTACACCTTTTCCAGACAACCAGTGGCACCGAGTAACCTCATGTGAGAGAAAGACCCTCCTGCATGTGGGCAAGCCGCCTTGCGTGGATGTCGTGGCGATTGTAAAGCTTAGGTGTGGTTTCCTGGAGGGTTTGGCAGCCCCAGTTGCACCATCGCAGCCTAATCTGTGGAGGTTGAGGGGGACAGAGTGGTCTTGTGGCAGACCAGGAGCACAGACATTTGCTCTTTGTTTGAGAGAGCTGGTCAGGCCACTGAGCAGCTCCTACACTTGGAAAGAAAAAGACAGTGATCCAAGGGTGACTAGGAACTGAGAGCTGAAGAAAGGAAAAGGGGGCAGAGGCCAGGAAAAGTGCCTGCGATGTGTTTCCAGCCCACGGGAAAGGTATTGACTTGGTTAGAGACAGATTTGACACTTGTATTTGGAAACCTGACTAGTTTGTATTTTCAAATTCTTGACCCTTTGGTTCTCCTCTAGTACACAAGGGGGCTCTTTTGGAAGCAGCTGTCTGAGGTGAGTTAGGGAAAACAAAGAAAGAGGTTTGTGGTCAAGCACAAGTCTGAGAGCAGTGTGGTGGAGATAACCAAAAACCAAACCTGTTGCCTGGAGTCCATTCCCACCCACAGTGACCCTATAGAACAGAGCAGAACTGCCTAATAGGGTTTCCAAGGAGCAGCTGGTGTATTTGAACTGCCGACCTTTCGGTTAGCAACAGTAGTTTTTGGATATAGGGATAGGATAATCCGTGAGGGAATGACCCACTGGAAAAGGGATACACTTGAGGCCACTCTCTCCAGAATCCTCTTCTGCCCATGCCTTGAGGTCTTCTTTTCTGTGAACAAGGGAAGCCCTTCCCTCCTTTTCTGAGTAGGCAGCATCCCTCACTGCTCAGGAGGGGTTATTTGAGAGTTAAGAGGGAAAGCTTCGCAATCGCTTGACATTTTGGCCTACGACTGGCTCTGAGTGTCGTTTTCGCTGTAAATGGAAACCAAAAGGTAATCTTGGAAAGAGGACAGATCGGCCAGGGTGATGGTCACCTCGGTGACCCACGCCCCCACCTGCGCAGCCCTCAGTCACTCTGGGTTCCGCCACCTCTTCACCTCTCGCAGAATGACCATCTCGGCCTCCTAGCGTGAGTCTCTCGCTGTCTCGAGGGCCAGAATGGTCGTGCTCAAACTCAAACCTGAGCACGCCACTCCCCTGCTTAGAAACCTCTGAAGTCCCCCATGTTGTCCGCAGGTTCAAGTCCAGACTCCTTGGAATGGTTTACCAGACCCTCTGCAATGAGATCTCCCAGGCTTTGCAGTCTCCTGGTTTCCCCACAGGAATTATGCTCCAACTTTGCTGAGCAGCTTGTGGCTCCCCAAAGAGGCATTCGCTTTGGCTTCCTCTTCCATTTGCACATTCTGCCTCCCTGGTTTGGAAGGCCTTTCTCCTTGTCCACTATGGCTCACTTTTCCTCCAACACTGTTCTCAAACAGGACCTTGCAGACTTCCCACACAGCTTCCCCTCCTAGACCCCACTGTACTGTGTTTATAGACGCTCTCCTCTAACCTCGTGGAGGGTAGAGACCATGACTTTTTATTTCTGCATTCCTAACCCTTCCCACAATGCCTGACACGTAGTAGGCACTCAATACATTTTTGATAAATGAATGAATAGGAAAGTGTCCCAGTGAACCAGCTGGCATAAATTTGGCCCTGGATATACAACAAGAGCAATAAATCAGCTAGGACCTACTAAGCACTTTCCATTACACCAGCTCCCATGGTTAACTATTTTACATGCATGATCTCATTCTGCACCCTCTCATGCTATCTGATGAAAAAGATGCTACCATCACTGGTGAGAAAGCTGAAGCTCAGAAGAGTTAAGTAAACTGCCCAAGGTTGCACAGCTAGCAAGTGGCAGAGCTGGCATTCAAATCCAGGCTCCTGGCTTCAGAAGCCCAGGTTCTGAGCCACCAGGCTACAAGGTTTGAGTGAATGAGCATGTGATCATGGGACACTTTCACAAGTACAAGAAGCCCCTGGGGTTGATGTTGCTATGTTATCGGTAGGAGTTTCTGACCTCAGATCTGGAAAAGAAAGTTGCAGCCAAGACTATGGGGACAGAACACAAGTATAATGTAGGCTCAGAGCCTGCTCTGAGTTTTGAAGAAATGGAGGAAGCAGAGAGACGACTGCAAGGACAGGCCACTGGTGTGACTGGTGCTCCCAGGAGGGCCCTAGGACAGAAAGAACCATCCATCAGACCAGGGTGCAGAAATTTTTTTTAAATCATAAAATAAATTACAAGTGAAACGTGGTTCAGGGAATTTTCCCATCTAAAAGAAGGGTCTCCTAAAACAAACTGAACTCCATGGAGGAGGGAAGGATCTGGGAGGAAGCACTGGTCTGAATAGCAGGAAAAACACCTGGAGTCCTGGGGAAAGACCTCGCCTGTCCCAGACCCTGGCCTAGCGCAACTGGGTCTGATGCAACTGGGCCCAGCTCAACCACAAGTCTGCAACCTTGCCCTTTGGGCAGATTCTTTCTACAGAATTTCTTTCTAGGACACAGTTTAACATCCTAAGAGGCTGGCCAGAGAGATGGTTCACTGGTATCTTTGCAGCTTGTCAGAAAACCCTAGAAGATCCCCAGCAGCCAACACAATCAAAGCAAGATGCAGTTAGCAGGAGCCCAGGGAAAGGGAGCTTTGAACCCACCAAGCGGCTCCATGGGAGAAAACACCTGGCGATCTGCTCCTGTAAAGATAACAGTCTAGAAAACCCTATGGGGCAGATCTCCTCTGTCACATGGGGTCACTGTGAGTTGAAATTGACTCGAGGGCACCTAACAACAACAACTGACAGGAGCTGGTGTGTTCTGCCCAGGACTCTCTCTCACCAACTTCACTCCTGCCTGCAGAGTTGCACAAAATGAGTTTGCTCACTTCCTCTTGGCCTCATTGCCACTTCCCCAAAGCCTTATGTTTTTACAGAGCATTATGCTTGCAAACCCACAGTACAGATGATAGTAACCCCACTCACTCTT